AAAATCCTATTTTAACCTGTTTCTTTCCCATCATCTACAGCCAGTGAAGTGGCATTTAACAAGTGAAATCAATTATAGTAATCACACACCCTATAGACAAAAGTATTGAGACACCTGCCTAAAGGAATTTTTATGACATCCCATTCCAAATACGCAGGCATCAATATGGAGTTGGTCCCCCCTTTGCAGCTACAGTATAACAAATGTCACTCTTCTGGAAAGGCTTTCCACAGGATTTTGGAGTGTGTGGTAATTTTTGCCCATTCACCCAGAAGAGCATTTGTGAGGTCGAGCACTGATGTTGAATGTGGAGGCCTGACTCGCGATCTCCATTCTAGCTCATCCCAAAGCTGTTTCATGGGGCTGAGCTCAGGGCTCTGTGTGGGTCGGTAAAGTTCTTCCACACCAAACTCTTTAAGTACCTTGATTTGTGCACTAGGGCACAATCATGCTGGAACAGACAAGGACCTTCCCCAAAATGTTCCCACAAAGTTGGAAGCATAGAATTGTCCAAAATGTCTTGGTATGCTCAAGCATTAAGAGTTCCCTTCACTGGATCTAAGGGGCCTAGCCCTACCCCTGAAAACCAACCCCATACCATTATCCCTCCTCCACAAAACTTTACAGTTGGCACAATGCAGTCAGGCAGGTAATGTTCTCCTTGCATCCACCAAACCCAGACTCGTCCATCAGACTGCCAGACAGAGAAGCGTGATTCATCACTCCACAGAACCTTTCCACTGCTCCACAGTGCAGTGGCGGCATGCTTGGTTAATGCCAGAAGAAATTTGGAACTCTATAGTTACTGAGTCAACAGGAGCGTTGGCGACTTTTACACACTCTTCACCTCAGCACTCGGTGACCCTGCTCTGTTATTCTACATGGTCTGTCACTTCGTAGCTGAGTTTCTGTTGTTCATAAATGCTTCCACTTTGCAACAATACCACTTACAGTTGACCATGGAATATCTAGCAGGGAAGAAATTTTGTAAACTGACTTATTGCAAAGGTGGCATCCTATGACAGCACCATGCTTGAATTCACTGAGCTCTTCAGAACAACCCATTCTTTCACAAATGTTTCTAAACCTGACTCCATGGCTGGTGCTTGATTTTATACACTTATGGCAATGAGTCTGCATGAAAAACCTGAATTCAGTGATTAAGAGGTGTGTCGCAGTACTTTTATCCATATAGTGTAGCTTTCATCTGGATTCAAGTAGTCTATTCTAATGAAAGTTCAGGCATCCCTATTGTTCTGAACACTTAGTGGATACGTGGGCTCCTGATATAAGATGTAATAAGATGTATGATGTAATAAGCAATTTGTTACCTTCTCCAATCCTTCAGTTAATGCTTCCTACTGAGTATGCAGGAGAAAAATTACACAGCTCATCTGCAGCAAGACTGAAGACAAATATCACCCTTATCGTCAACATGCAAATTAGGGAGCCGTTCCACAGAGACACACCACAAAGTGTCTTCATCTGCTTACATGGGCTCATCAAATAATACCCACTTCAGAATTCAGTCTTTCACTGTAATTACATTCATTTCTACTTTTCCCCCAAGTTCTGAGATGCTCCACAATCCACAGTTTGGTTCAGAACTTGATTTCTGAGTCACGGTTTGGTTCATACCTTGTTTTTGTTTTTTTTTTGGGTTTTTTTTGGGAGGGGGGTGAATAAGGAATAAAAATTCTGGGTTTTATTAATCACAAACAATTTGGAAAACAAAAGGGGTTTATTATCCATCTTGAGATAATGAAACTAGCCTAGCTTTTACCGTAGGTGTGATTGCTCTATCATGATTGGACCAAAATAGTCACGTGACACACACAGTTGGGAGACAATAAAATAGGTGTAATGTGTGAAATTCACAAAATATATAACTTGCCATAACTTTAAATACAACAATAACATTGTGATTTACATGTGTAATCTTGTTAATTGTGAAATGAATTTGTAACATAATGAAAGCCGAACAGGCTACACCAGCAGTGGTGGCAGCCGGGTTGGGGTGGGGGTGGGGGGGTGTCACAGTTCCATCTTCCGGAACCACAACATGAGAGCATGATTGTTTGTATTGTGGTTTTGGTATCGGTTTCAGAACCATTACACCATTAGTTAACACAAACTAAACTTTACACAAAAAGAACTGTCTTTATTGAGCCAACCATTCCTTTATTGAGTTTCACCAAAGGGAAAATTATTAGTCAACTATCAGAAATTGCTTGCTAATATAACAGATTACAGCCGCCAGATCTCAATAACATCACTCACTCCAAACATCATTCACTCCAAAGTAGGGCCAAACAAAATCACCCAGTTTGAGGAAATTCAAGTAAATATATCATTAACTGCTTTTCCTAGGGCTTTTTGCTTAAAATATTCCAGATATGCTGGAATATTCCCTTTGAAAATAATGCAGCAAGAACATTAGTTGAATCAGTTTGGGCATGATTTGCAGAGTGAGTCATAATTAATAAAAATACCACTCCCACAACCTCTGTCATAAAATGCCCATCTGTCATGAGATCTAAAGTAGCTGCAGTCAGTACTCCTGTGTGGGCAAAGCTGCATGCCAGGTTCATTATGGAAAGAGTTTGGCAAAGTGGATTATTTAAATACACATCACATTTAAATTAGCAGCTGACACATTTCAGTATAAGGTTAAATATATCTGCTACAGTCACTCAAAATTAAGAGCAAAGTAACTTACAGCAGCTATCTGTTAAGACATTGAATCGGTATCATGGAAAATTCAAAGGACAAATACTTATGATAGACTGTAGCAAGAAAAAGGAAATCTGTAAGTGATTCTTAATACAGAGTCACTGACAAAAAGGGCATGATAATTAGATTAGGATATTCACTGTTGTGCTATTTCCAAATTTTCTTTTGCCACAGCACCCAGGGAATTAACCTAACAATGTGGTAATACAAACTGATAATACAGAAAATAAGTAAAACTTTTTGAGCTAAGAGAATAAACTCATAACACTGAAAGGGGTGGCTCTGTTGTGAGGGACTGCTTAACAGAACACTTTCCTGTTCAGCATCTATTTATAAAAGGTCACTGGATAATAAATACAATGGCCTCAAGGAAGAATTAAGGGTGCAAAATGTCCTGCAGCCGGGTAGATTTCCCCAGCTCAGATTCTGTAGTGATATCGCTGTCATTTTCATAAATGTCTCTCTTGTAAACCTTCATTAGAAGGGTGGTGGAGATTATATCATTTTACCCCATACTGCCAGCCAATCAACACAAAAATTATGCTTTCATTTACCCTTTATGCATTTAAAAAGATAGGGGTTCTGAAAATAAAAATACAACTTAAGTACTCATTACCCATTCTGAAATATACAAAGAAGGGCTTTGTCAATTTGCATAGAAGCTCCAGATTGTACTGATAACACTGGAGCAGATCTAGAGGAATTTAAAAAATCATTCCGGCTCTTGCCTTCAGCCACACCCGTGTTCCTCTGGTCTGCACATGTCAGCAGAACTTGCATAGCATATTGACAAGCTTGCAAACCCCTGCCTGTTCACCAAAGCCTGCAATTGTCAGTTTGTTTATAGAATGATTAACCCTGCGCAAAAAAAGCAAAATATCACAAAGCCCTAGATAATCTAAACTGCCAAGGAGAGAATCTCAGTCACAGATCAAGGACTGGATAATAATACCATTGAAAACAAGTATGCATGTTGTAACATGCAGAAAAGTATAAAGAGATTAATATCTGAACATAATCTCTGAATTATTAGGCTGAATATTATTATCGCTGTACAAGAAAAACAGCGAAGGCGAACTTCGTAGCTTTACCCCATGGGTAAATCTTCCATATTTATTACTTCTAGCAAGAAACAGATATTTTGTGTCACATGTTTAAGAAAAATGTTAATCAAATAGGTAAATGACAGCAGACAAAACTGTGAAAGAGGGATGAGGCCTGTCCCAAGCGGCAGAGAGCACGATGCAGAGGGACACCCCTGGATGGGATTCCAGTGCACTGCAGCACGAACTGCAATACTTCAGCATTATAATTTATCTGGTTGTATGAATATATGACGTTGTATATTCAGCTGTATGACCAGCAGGTATCCAAGCAATTAAAGTCAACAAGGCCAACATAATATCTGCCAATTCAAATTTGGCTCTGCTGTAATACCGCTTCTTAAAGATCAACATCCAGTAAAAATGTTAGAAATAGGTAAAATTTCAAAGCTGTTCTCGAGCAAAAAAAAGAAAAGAAACTAAATATAAGAACAGCTCAACGGCAAATGCAAGGCAATTTCTGACTATAGCCAGAAAAATATGTAACCTATATTATGCAAAATATGCCACCACCCTTAGCCAACAGGGGCTCTCACAATGATACTGTTAGTAATATTTGTAAAACAATGAAAACCTGCCGTGCCAAACCTACTCACACGACTCTTGAACCAGTTGTTTCAAAAAGTCAGTATTTAGTAACATTATCTGTGGTCGAGTTTCACGTCCAATTGTAATACACACAGTGGGTACTGACGCATTTTAGCAGAGGGCGAACTCTGATTAATAACAAACTGTAACGGAGCCATATCTTCATAAAATTCAGTTTAGCATGTTCTTTGCAGCCTGCAAAGCAGGGATGGACATAATCCCTGATCGCTCCCGTCCCAAAGCAAGATCAGCACTACGAGCAGCCGTCATACTGACCATTACTATGAGATGCATGTCCCGCGGCTTCTCTTGCAATCTAACTGCTGCAAACGCTTGTACTTGTTCTCCGAAACCATATTTGCCGAAATCTAAGACGTACTCTCCAGCACAGACTTCGGATAATTAAATCCAAGCGGAAAATAACTATCCATATATAAATACAACGATCCTTTGAAGTGTATCAGTTATGTCTGATTACATCATTTACGTCCCTGGAAAGTTTATTCAAACAAGCAGCTTTACATTAGATTCAAGGAGGGAATGGAAAGTCCGTGATGGTGCTCGGTACCCATTTACCAGCTGGTTGATGATCGGGGGTTGAGAATGTCTTCCTTGGCCGTAAGCAGGGAAAGACTGTAGGTATCCAAGTTAATCGGATTCATGTCGACGCTGTAGTTCAAAACTTTTGCTCTTTAGTCTATTGCTATTCACTTGAATTTCAGTTCAGAAAATCGGCAGGGCTGTCGACACAAAAAGCACGCAGTTACGAGAAAACAACAGACATACTATCCTCTATAAAGTGTTCAATAATGTTTGCACATTTAAAGCTATGACAGCCCCCTGGAGAGTACTCCAGCTACGCTGGATACGACGACGAAGTGTGCCGTATGCTTTTGTAAAGGAGGCGATGAAGTTAGGCACGAAAATCAGTAACCAAAAGCCCCACCTCCTGCAGGAAAAAAAGCGCAGTTAAACAAATTCATCTGGACTTTAGACACGTAGGGATGTGCATGCAGCGACAAGGCGCCATCGCTACCAACTCCGCAAGAAGAAAGTTTTAGGAGAGCAACACTGAAAAGCCGAAAGGCCTGTATATTCATACAATAAACGAAGCTCCTGAATTAAACTTGATTTCAAGGCTCCCTCCAAGTGTTGGATCTCAGCCCGCTTTCATTCTGATGCTCACGTTTCCTTGTTCAGAAGAGGGGCGTCTACTGTCGCACTTTCTCCGTTTTTCTGACAGGCGCATGTCTTTGGAAGGAACATGCAGGTAGTATGAGTAGCGTCTTATTTCTAAGCGAAAATTGCACACTGGTTCAACTAATAGGCTGCATTCTAAAAAAGGATTGTGCAGGAGTTGCAAGACTCAGCCATTGAGAGAAAAAACCGTATTCAATCAGAATAAAATACATGGATTGGGTAAAGACAAAAGGATGATAGCTTTTTCGGTAAAGGCGTAATGATTCTGTTTATAAAAAAAAATAAATCAGACAGATATGGAAAGAATGAGCATGAAGACTAGTTGAAATGGTGACTGCATTGTTCTAGGAATTTCTGAATGAGGAAAAGAATTAATAGAAGCTGGAACAAACCAGAACTACGCCATTTAACAAGCTGTACATGGGTCACTCCAAGCACAGGTGCCTAGCAGAGCTAACATGCTGAGGACTCTCATTTAATTTTCGGATCTCTTTTGGCCTGTTATGCTACTTATTTATGCAGTGGTGCACTCTATCCTTTATAATAAGTAATTGAGGATGTTATTACTGTATCACCAATATTTAGTATGCTTTTTGGGAGACTACCTCTAAGTCACACATTTATTGCAGTGGCATGCAAAAAATAATCTGCAGTATTGGCAGCTTCCAAACCACTGTTACAACTTCAGAATAAAACATGCACTTTGTGTGGAGTTTGCTTGTTGCATGTCACATTTTCACGTGGTCGCGGTGTTGCCTGGATTTCCTATTATAGCCTAAACAAGGTTATAGGCAACTATAGGCATCTCCAAACTACCCACAGAATGTCCCGTGCATTTGGCCGTCCCATCTGGGGTGATGCCTTGCTCTCTTCTTTCTGGGATAGACTTCGGTCTCCAAGACCGATCTGTCATTGGTTTATATCTGTTAAAAATTCCATGTTTGTTATGAAGATTAATTGTCAAAGTAAAGGCCCCAAGAAATTCATAGGTCATCTAATTCAACTGTTCATCTCAAGATGACCTGTGTCTTCAAGAAGTATAGTAGACCAATGAGATGAAAAACAAAGAATCTGAGACCATATCCTATCAAAAACCTGTGAAACCCCCTTTATGATTTTGTACTTGAACCTGCCAGTAACAAGTATGAAGATAGAATCAGGGGTAATAAAGCCAGTTTGCTTCCACTATTACAAATATTAAGGTTATTATGACTTTCTTGATGTTTTGTATTTCAGTGGGATACAGTGACATTTATGCTTCATAAAACTGGGATTACCTATCCTGAGTTGATGACTAGTATTAGATTGAATAAAGAGATTGTTTTTAATCTCCTTTTAATAACTTTAAATGTTCTGTCAATTGGCCAGCTGTTGAGTCACAGAATTATATACTATACTCTGACACACAATAGTAAGTGAAAATATATTTTAAAAGTTTAAGTTTGTTTATTTTGCCCGAATTTGCTTTGGATTTCCTCATTTTAGGCAAATGCAAATGCAAAAAAAACACCCCATCTGGTAAAAAAATAAATAAAAAAACATACTGGTATGTACTTAATTTCATGGATTTTTTGGACGGTTACCAATAGACACTAAGCCACCTTATGTGTTTTGGGCTTCTTCTGTCATACTACAGTATGTATGTAGTGATCTGAAAGAGAGAAAAATATAATAATTATTGCAGTACCCAAGTCTATACATTGTATGGTGCGCTCTCTTATGTTGCCATAGATAGTCCATGTTTTTGCAAAAATGTGAACTGTCTGATAGAGAACTCTGAGGGAGCAAAAACGTGGACCAGCTGTGGGTCTCCAAGGACCAGATTGGGAAACACTGACGTATAAGATAAGAGGCTGGAATGACATTTTGAAGACTTTGACTGTGGAGGAACTTGTGGCTCTACAAGTCTTGTACTTAATTTTGTAGTTGTTTAATATTAGAAAGTTATATTATTCTGTAATGTTGTCACCAGTAACATTTAGCTACGACTTTAGTTACGGAACAAGGTCAACAATGGGAAATGATCACTCAGATTAGAAGAAGTCAAAACAAAAATATCGAATGGATGCAGATTAAAATCTGAGATACTCTACTACCTTGAGCAATTTTCAAGGCTGCTTTAATGGCCATTGTTTGGAAAGCACAATGTTTTCTGTTTACTTACAAACCCTCAATGGAAAGACAGGCATTGTCTTCTATTATGGTAACTATCTCGTTCAGGGTCACTAATGAATGCGCTATGGTAGGGGCAAACCCCTTCTGCTTCCTCTTGTCCATTAAGAATCTGGGAACACTTTAAGGTCTGCTCCTAAATTATTAATAAATCGTTACTAATAATCAGAAAATATATTAGCAAATAAAAAAGATTGACTTACAAATTTAGAGATGTATTACAAAGATATCTTACTACAGTGCTTGTAAATCACAACTAAAAAATAATGCATTAGTAAGCATACTTAGAAATTAGTTACACCTGAGCCTTAAAGTTCTGCTCTTAGATAAGAAACTGTTACTACTCATTTGATATGTTAGTAGATAAAAAGATTCTCTTACAATCAATTTAGAATTATACTATAAAGATAGCTTACTGCTGCCCCACAAAGTATTTGCTAAAGAGCTTGTAAATTCGGGATTATAACTAATTTCTGAGTATGCTTACTAATCCATTATTTTATATTTGCAAGATGATTTGTAAATACAGGACCAAGATATTACATTTCTAAATTTGTCTGTGAATGAATCTTTTGGTCTATTAATATATTATCAGATGATTAGTAAAAGCTTAGTAGAATTAAAACGCAGACCTTAAGCTAAAGTCTTACCAAACACGCCTGACAGAACACATCTTATTGCCTAGAGATGGCTGTCATGTGCTTCAAAAACACAGGATGTATACTATTCATGGAAATTTAAAGCTACTTAAGAGTTTTGTTTAATGTTTTTTTTCTTTTACTTTCATATGTTTAATTTTAAGAGTGCATATAAATTCAATAACGTTTTAGGAGCTATACCTAAGTAGGGCTCACTTTGTCATCAGACCCACTTCAAGGGTAGAGGAGCATTCAGATAAGCCATTTGGAGCACCATTGTTGTTCAGAGCTGTTATTTTTGTGCATGTGGCCATCCTGTTAGTAGTAATGAGGCATTTATCTCTGACCTCCCTCATTTAAAAGCCACAGAAAGCCACAGAAATGTCATCGACTGGATGTTTTTCATTATTTACACAATTTTCTGTAAACTCGAGATACTGCAGTGTGTGAATATTCCAGGAAAGTGTCTGTTTCCAAGATGTTGCAAACCACCATGTCTGGCACCAGCAGTTTTTATATATATATATATATATAGACACACACACACACAATCGTGTAATCATATCTTTTTGATGACCGCTCATTCATTTCTATGGGGAAAATGCTAACGCTAACTATGACAACCTTAACCCCAACCCAGCCCTAACCATAACCATAAGTTTTTGTAGCAGGAGTTTTTGCATTTTTAGTTTTTTCATTGTAGTCACTTACTGGTCCCCATAAGTAAAAAAAAACACAGGTATACATCACGTTCATCACGTTGTGGGGACATTTGGTCCCCACAAAGTAAGGTATACCTGGACCACACTCACACACATGCACACATTATATTCAGTTTCAGCAATATGACTAGCTGTGTAGATAAGCAGGCTATTTGAGTTAGCAAACAGGCTTACCTAATAAACTGGCCACTGAGCATACATGGTAGTAATATTTAGTATGCTCACTTTAGCCCAACAGAGATGATGTGGAGGTGTACATGTCAGCACTAACTCATTCTCTTAAAAGCATTATGGGTTCTCCTGTTTTCCAAACCAATGATAAAAACCATTATGGCAGAAGGTCCACAGTGCTTTTTTCCACATAATCGCCCCTATGTAAACAGGATGATGATGCCTACCCTGTACCCTGAACTATTCTTTGCTTTGCTCTCACGGGACTTAAGCACAAGACGGGCACAAGGAAATAGCGAATAATGAAACAAATATGTAGTATTGGTCTAGCCTTAAAAAGTTCATAAATGGGACTATCTGTCTAGTGAGCTGTGCGTGTGAGACACACTCCATTAACTGTAAATCGTTTTAGGTTAGGTCATCCTTCAGCTATGTGCCTGCCCAGCTTTTGCAGAGTTATGGGTCCCCAGAGTGAAACCCCCTGCACACATAGCTTCACTCACAGACAAAAAGCAGGGGGGGGGGATCATGTGATCACTGCCAGATTCAGTCACTGATGTACATTGGATACTTACTAACCAACATAAATCCAAGAAAGAGGGGTACGTGTTGATAGACTATATTTGATTATGCAAAATCAAAATGAAAGTTTTTCATCTCCCTTGACTTTCTAGTTTTGTCACTGCAAATTTAGCTTGATGCCAAATTCCCAGAAGCACTTCTGTTAAATAATCTCCTGTTAGCTACTGTTTTTATCACCATTAGTGATCTCTTAAAGTAACAATTTAGACTGAAATGTTACACTCCTTACTAAAGTAAGTCCCTTGGAAATAATTAGGAACAGGCAGTTTTTCAGTAAAGATTTTTAGAATGGAGAATATACACTCACCTAAAGGATTATTAGGAACACCTGTTCAATTTCTCATTAATGCAATTATCTAATCAACCAATCACATGGCAGTTGCTTCAATGCATTTAGGGGTGTGGTCCTGGTCAAGACAATCTCCTGAACTCCAAACTGAATGTCAGAATGGGAAAGAAAGGTGATTTAAGCAATTTTGAGCGTGGCATGGTTGTTGGTGCCAGACGGGCCGGTCTGAGTATTTCACAATCTGCTCAGTTACTGGGATTTTCACGCACAACCATTTCTAGGGTTTACAAAGAATGGTGTGCAAAGGGAAAAACATCCAGTATGCGGCAGTCCTGTGGGCGAAAATGCCTTGTTGATGCTAGAGGTCAGAGGAGAATGGGCCAACTGATTC